AATATTTTCCAAATTTCCCCTTTCTTGTGGTAGACTCGTGAGCCTCAATTATTCTTTTCTCTTTCATTGGTTTTGATCAACTATTCAATGGAGACTAGCTACTACGTCATCCTCTTTCATGCTATTTTGCTTTTCTAGCATATCTAGATTCCTATAAATAATCACAAAGAATGGTCAAAGAAAAGTGGAAAGGGAACTGCAAATTCAGAATACTAATCATACTAAAAATCGTAGGATAAAAAGATAAATAAGAAAATTAACATCTATAGTCCGTAGAAAATTACATGAGAATTTCAATTTTGTATAAGATGCTAAAACTAGTCCGTAGATCAACACTATACGTACATTACATCTATAGTCCATAGATGAGATTAATTATTGTAATAGTAGCTTAGTAGCTTATATGGTTATACATATATTCGTGTCTAGCTATATGGGAGTCGTTTGGTTAACGTAAATATTAAAATTAAAAAGGCTATATAAGATCAGTTCCATAGTGTTTTCTTATTGTTAATGGAAATTTGGTTTTAACTTTTATCTACTCTGCCAAGTGGCTTTATCCTAAAAAAGAGCCTACTGTATTGAATTTAGATAAGAAATATGGAATCCTATAAATTTCCATTAGTACAAATACTATAAAAAAGAGCCTACTGTAGAGAACACTTATTAGTACAAATACAAAAAGTTCACGCCAACGCCTTTTGTGGAACATTATTAATTTACGCGATTTTGCTATGTCCTATACAAACATTTGAATAAGAAAAAGTACAACAACATTTAATTGGATTAAGAAACTAAAATAAACCATATTATTTTGTGAAGAACACAAAAACATTGAAATTTTCGCAACAATTTGGTAAAATTGAGTCCAAAGCTGCAAATACAATTGAACCCTATCTAATTAAGCATCAATATTGGTTTGAGAATCACAAGGAGGGTCAAAGAGACTAAAAGCTCTATAAGCAGAAATGACAGAAAGAATTAAGAACGAGAGAAGAACAAAGACATGAAGTCCCAAAGCAATTGTGAGTTTTGAACAAAAGTGTGGATAGGAAGAACACATTTCACTCCATGTCACTATTGTGTCTCCTTTGTTAAGTAAATACACTATCTCTGTTGCTCCTGCTACTGATGTAGTCATCAAATAAGCTAGAACCTTCACATATTAAAAAAAAGATCACTTATATAAAGATTTATTTCCTGTTAATCACTTATATATATAAGATATTGAAAAACTAAATTTGATTAATGGTTGAGAAAACAAAAACAAAGAGCAGAGAAATTAGATGGAAATAAATAAACCTGGTCAGGGACAAAGAAGAGCCAAGCTTTGGAGACTAAACATGTAATCCATGAAGAGATAGTCGAGAGGAGAGCATAAATAGCACATATGGCACTAACACCAACCATATACCTGCAAATAATAACCATCTTAATAGTTATAAAATAACCATACACAAAAACATAATTTAACTTCCAAAACTGAAAGAAACTAAAGTATACTTGAGACCCATTATGGAGTTATAGTCTAGATTGCCATAGTCAGGGTTTGATTGGTGGTTAGTAACGGTTAACCAGATGGTTGCAAGACTAAGAGGAACCACACTTAGCCTAAGACATGAATCTGTGAGCTTCAAAGCCATAGGAGCTTGTGGTTGATGCTTTGAAGAATTTCTTGTTTCTCCTTCTCTTATGTTGTTGTTGTCTCTCATATCTGGTTCGATCTCAAAATCAAAGGTTCTTTTGGGAGTTTGGAGAGGAAGAAAGATAAGAAAAATTGTTAAACCCAAGTGGGCTTCTCATTATATTATCATCACTTTATATATAAATAAATTTAGATGTGTATATGTGTGTGTGTGGTCACAAGACATATACGAACAAATTATAATAGATACAAGAGAAAAGTTCCTTTAACAAAAGAGTTCCTTTAACTTCTCTCCTTTTTATGATTAATCTTTAGAAACCGCGTGGAAAATTTTTTTTTTTCCTTTGTAAAAAGACTTCTTTTTGAGACAACATTTGTAGAAAACCTACCTACAAATGTGAAAAAGAAACAATTACCAATGTGAATTTAGATTAAGCATGCTATGTTCACGTTGAATTAATAAGTTTTAGCATCTTAATCTATATTCACATTGAATTATTATTTTCTTTGATAATCTACAACTTGTAAATCAGCATCAATATATGTTTTTGAACAATTTTATAAACATATCAATGGATTTACAACTTTTATATATATCAAACAAGAATATAACGTTTGTAGTTTTTATATTGAAATGGTAAGTATTTTTTTTCTAAAGAACTTTTACAAAAGAAAAACATAATTATATTTGTGTCTTGTCTCTAGAGAGTGACACCGAAAATCTGGTAATGGAAGTGAGAGGGGCGAGGCAAGTGCGGTGGTTGTTGGGAGCGAGAGAGATTGACATTTGGCTTCCTCTCGGTGGCCTTTCATATGGAAACACTGTTTTGGATAAATATTTATACTTTAGATAATATAAAGTATTGAGGTGTTACGTTTTTTATGATGGTGTAGTAAAATGTTTTCTACAACCACATTTTCAATCAACAATATGATATGCAAGCACATAGCTTTTTCAATAAACCAATAATGATAATTTTTTGGGAACATATATAGAATGATGACACTAGTATTAGTCAAGGTGATGTCACATCATAATTCAAAATACGTAACACCACCAACCAATGATCGAACAACGAGCATAGAGGGACCGCTTTTGACCTTAGACCGAAAAATTCAATATTACGTCCATTTTCTTATTTCGGTGAGTTTAACAATTAAAAAATTCGCATTAATTGTTTGTATCGTTTCGACATTCTAGTTAATTTGGTTTGGTTTGGTTTCAATTTGGGGGAAGGGGGAGTACAAATCGTTCCATGTCAGATATCGCAAAAAACAATAAAGGGGTCTAAACTAACATTGAACAAACGGTTCTTCAAATGAATGTCAATCTTGAACTCGAGTAAATATCTAATTCTTAACAAAAAATTTATAAAAGTCTAGTCATCCGCTTTAAATAGACGTGGAAATCCAATGTATATATTCCAAGCTCCTTTACATTAGGATAACATAACTCTCAACATTTGCTCGGAGCAAAGATGTACCAGGATTTTTAGCATTTGCTTATGGATACAACCAATTGTATTCATTAGATTTCTTGCATGTCGCGTTAAGCGTTCGAATTTTTTAAAGTCGAAGCACAAGCTTTCAATACACAAACCAATTAGAACAATGCCAAGAGAGCCAGAGCGCAAGTTCCTGACGTTCAACATAAGTGGATACAAGTATCAAAACAAAAAAAAAGTGGATACACAAAATCCATAACAAAAGATGATTTTAGAAATAAGAAAATATTATAAATGGATAATTATCCATATGGATAATATTTATCCATTCACTATTAGTATAATAGTTACTTCCTCTTTAAGATGTATGTTTAATCGATTTATGCTTTTCTATATATACGTGTACGTAGAAGTGGAAAATCAAGAAGAAGAAGAGATCAGGGTTCTCTCTCTCGATAAAGAAGAAGATATCAATCTACAAAGTCGAAGAGACAAGACTTATTTGAAGGGGAGATTCCAT